CCCCAATGTCCATCACTCAGCCATCCCATCCTTCCCACTTCCCTCCACTCCAGCAATCCTCAGTTTGTTTCCTGAGATTAAAAGTTTCTTATGGTTTGTCTCCCTCCCTGGTTTCATCTTGTTTCATTTTTTTCTTCCCTTCCCCTATGATCCTCTGTCTTATTTCTCAAATTCCTTATATCAGTGAGAACATGTGGTAATTGTCTTTCTCTGATTGACTTATTTTGCTTAGCATAATACCCTCTAGTTCCATCCACATTGTTGCAAATGGCAAGATTTCCATTTTTGATGGCTACGTAATATTCCATTGTATGTATATACCACATCTTCTTTATCCATTCTTCTGTTGATGGACATCTCGGCTCTTTCCATAGTTTGGCTATTGTGGACATTGCTGCTATAAACATTGGGGTACACATGCCCCTTTGAATCTAAACTAAATGATTTCTCTTTTAGAAAGGAGGTAGAAAGGAGGTAGAAAACCTCCTCAGGAAGGTTGAACAAAGAAAAAAAAATTTTAAGATTTTATTTATTAATTTGGCAGAGATCACAAGTAGGCAGAGAGGCAAGCAGAGAGAGAGGGAGAAGCAGACTCCCTGCTGAGCAGAGAGCCCGATGCGGGGTTCAATCCCAGAACCCTGAGATCATGACCCAAGCCGAAGGCAGAGGCTTAACCCACTGAGCCACCCAGGCACACCAAACAAAAAAATTTTTAATTTTTTGGGGCGCCTGGGTAGCTCAGTGGATTAAAGCCTCTGCCTTCGGCTTGGGTCATGATCCCAGGGTCCTGGGATTGAGCCCCGCATTGGGCTCTCTGCTCAGCAGGGAGCCTGCTTCTCTCTCTCTCTGCCTACCTCTCTGCCTACTTGTGATCTCTGTCTATCATATAAGTAAATAAAATCTTTTAAAAAATTTTTTTAATCTTTTACATTTTTATTTAAACTTCATTTTGAATCTTGGCATAACAATAAAAATGCTAATTGGCATTGAATATTCATTATTGTATTCCCCTTTGTTCTCAACGTGCTTTTGGGTGAATAAATGTGGTCGTGTCATATGTACTCCAAAATGACCACTGGAATTCCAAATTGTTCTTGATGAATTTGTGCTATTTATTTATTTATTTATTTATTTATTTTTAAGTAGGCTCCACACCAATATAGAGCCCAGTGTGGGGTTCAAACTCATGACTGTGAGATTAAGATCTGATCCAGCCACCCAGGCACCCCGAATTTATACTTTTTAGAAAGATAAATGCAAGAAAAATAAAACAAGCCAGAGTTATTCCAGGAGGTGGCACAAGTTTATTACTAGATGAACCCATGAATTCATTAGCTGAGGTCAGTCAAAAGGGAAAATATTGCTTACGTATTATGTCTTAAGTCCTTAGCACTAAAGTTGAATCCCTAACAGCTGACCCTAAAAATCAGTGGGAAGGGTAGAGAACATATCACTTCCAAAGCCAGTTTCTCAAACATACAAAGAAGTTTTTACTTCTACACAGTAATGTAGCCAAATAAATTACATCTTTTTTTGCTGACAAATAAGATTAGTATTAAATCAATGCTTTAGCACCTACACAAGGAAAACAAAAATTTATACAAATTGGATCAGATAACCAGAAAGTCCTCGGAACCTTATTCATACAACAAACAAAAGTAATATCAGCTAGCTTTGGAAGCTCAACAAAAAAGGATTAGGCCTTAAGCAAGTGCTAGACTTACCATCATAGACAAAGAATCTCCAGAGCAAAGAGACTCAAGAGACCTCCCTGAAATGCAATATAACCAATACAGGAATACTGGTAGAAAGTGGTCTTGCCTAAGTCTTGGTAGGATCTACATGACTATGAAAGTCTTAATACTAGTGAGTTTCTGCTAGAGAGTTGGATAGGACAGTCATGCATCAGATAAACAATGCCCTAGATCCCTATTTCTCAAAATTGTTCCATAGAACACTGATTCTTCAAGCTAAGGGGTGATTTTTTTTTTTTTTTAAGTGGGTTCTATGTTCAAATTATTTTGGAAAATGTTGATTTTATTAAACAAGTTTATTTGCTGAAAAAAAAAGGGAGGGAGGGAGAGAGGAAGGAAGGAAGGAGAAGGAAAGGAAGGAAGGAAGGAAGGAAGAAAAGAAGGGACGGTTCTTAATACAATGACCACCAGGGAAACCTGTTGATCATACAAAGTGGTGTATATCACCATTTTTGAGCAAGGGAGATTATCACTGTAGCACAGTCCCAGTAGTGTCCCAGAAGGAGGAAATTACAGAAGGACAATTACAGGAGTTTGAGAACTGAGTTTGGTCATGAGAATGAGGCCGGGGATGGGGGTGTTAAGATAGTTAATAAGTAAGGTCTAGGTAGAGACTGATCAGATTTGTAAAATAGGTAAGTTGCTGAAATAGTCTTATCTTTGGAGCACATGAGTCCATGTGGTGTTATAATGGTCTGTTTGTGCATGGTCTTGGAGCATATAAGTCTAAACAAGTTTGTGTTAAAACAGTTTGACTTAACATGGTTGCTTGAGTTACATATCATGGTTTGGTACAGTTTATCTATTATGCAAATAATGGTACAGTTTTGCAAATAGATGTTTCTGTTTTATTTCTCAGAAAGACTTTGTAGTGTAGGCATGATAGCCAATTACAAGGATTTGAAAACATTCAAACATATTGAATGGGGGGACTTGGTAAGAGTGTGACTAAAAACATAGATTCAAGGAGGAGATATATTAAGATGTTCTTATGGATTGTAATCTTTGGGAAGATAGTGGACTACAAAGGGAAATAAAAAGAGTCAAATGTTTAATGTGTGAAAGCTGGGAAGACAGTGGTACCATTGATAAGAACAAAAATAAGAAATTGAAATTTAATATATGGTAGACAAGAAAGTAATAAGGTGTGGAGATAATGGGTTATGTGTTTTGTTTTTGTTTTTGTTTTTTTTATTTTGTATTTTTCTTTCTTTTGTATTTTAACTGTGACAAGTTCCAGGCATGGTTCCAAAGATAACCAGAAGTATAGGATACTAGAAAACAAGATTAAGTTTTAAAAGGAAATACTATGAATTTATTCTATATTTGGATTTATACTTCCATTCAGTTGTTTTCTTTGAAAATACTTAAAATACACTGTAAATCCCGCACCCTTATTTAACCAGGTATTATATCATTATGTCAATTTTATAGTTAAGTAACTAGTACTCCAATAATCTTTAATTGTTCTGTTATTTCTGGAACTGTTTGCAGCAAAAACAGAAAGGAATGTGAATGGCAAAAAAAAAAAAACACTCTAATAACCAGGACTTTTATTTTGTTGGTGGTCAGTACTCTTCTGTGAAAAAAAAAAAATTATATAACCACACAGTTTTCTTTCTGAAGCAACTTGTCTAATTAATGGAGTTAAAGAGCTGTAAGCCTTCACCTTTATAAAATTATAATGACTTCAATAACTGTGTGTTAATTAAGATCAGAAAATTAATCTATATTAGCACTGCAGTAGCAATTTTCTAAGCTCTGTTAGTGACTAAGGATGAAAGTGGGTTGCAATGTCACCTAGCAGCTGATTAAGTTAAATTAATGCAGTATTTGAAGGGAAGACTCCCAGGTGACACTGAATAAGATGATTAGAGTTTTTCCTCTAGCTATTTTAAGGGGACAGCTGGTTGCAAAGCTACTACTTTTCCAGCATAAAGCCAAAGGTCCTGCCACATGGTATCACCACTGAGTCAGAAGGAAGATTGAAGGGGCTAGAGGTTATTGTTTGGGAAAACTGAGATATGAAGCCCTGAGAATTGGTCATATTAACAGCCTAAGTATCTGTGCATGCTTGTCTTCAACCTCCTAAGATAATAGTACAGATTTCCTCACTTCCAAGATGTACTTTTTTTTCATTTTGTATTTCTGAAATCAAAGTCCATCTTGAAATTGATGTATAAATTAAAGTTGTATGTTGGTGTGTCTGCATGTGTTGTGTTAAGGACCCCTACTCATAAGTATTTTATAACCTAATCTAAATCTATGTTCACACTATAGACTAATTCTTTCTGTACTAGCATCTAGAAATATATGAGAACGATTGGGGTAAAATGTGCTGTTTAGAAGAGAATCATATTTATTATATATTTACCCATATTAATTAAGTGTTCATTACCTCAATCAATCCTAACAACTACTATTCAAGGTAGTTATTAGTATTATATGTTATAATTGAGAACATTAGGCATAATGTGTTTGGGTAACTTGAATTTCAATCTTGTCTGAATCCTAAGCTCTTCCTACTGTACCTCACTGCCTCACTGAAACAATCTAACATAGAGTAAGCTTCTAATAATTTTTTTTCATAGACATATAATGTTGGATATTAAATCTCTAAAGAATGACTCAATTCAGAGTCATGGAATAATTGTGCATATGTCTAGTTAAGTATTACTTGTTTAAATTTGCTAATAAAGAGACAAGATACCTATCTCCCTCTCCTTCAAATAAGTTTAAATTCTTTGGTAGTGTTGATCTCACTTCAGAAGAGATCCAAAAGCTTGAAACAAAATATTAACAATCATTCTCTTCATACTTGAGAATATCATGTCACACAGTCTCTACCTCAGATGTTATCAGTGAAAGACAAACTGGAAAATAATATTGGGAGGGAAAAAGGAAGTTGTTTTATTTGGTTTACCCTGGTGAGCAACCACTGAGAAGGCCAATCTCTACAGAGAACTATTGTCAAACTGTAGCCAAAGCAGGTGTGATATTTGGCCTGATGTTTAGTCACCGTTTAAATTTCTCCATGCTTTTTAATTCTGGAAGAATGTTTTTTTCAATCTCCTATACTCTCAATATTTATTTGGAGATCCCTTGGGCATGTATTTTCTATGTGCCAGATACTGTAATAGGTGTTAGAGAAGGTAAACTCTACTTACTAGATCTATTTCTTTTCCTTTAACCATAGACAACATTATCCTAAGAGAATAATTTGTGGTGGTTTTTTTGGCTTTGTAGCTGCTAAATCCCGAAGATGACCTTTTACCAGGAAAGATTCGAGACAGCAATCGTTCAACCCTCTTAGCAACAATTCAGGAACATGGTTACCCCACAATCAACTTGGGAATTGTGGGAGACAAGTAAGTATTGGGTTTTATTTGGAAGTTATTGTTGTACATATTCGAAGTTTGGGAGTACTAACTAGGTGGGATTGTTGCTAAAGAGACAGAAATTTAATACCGTAATTTTCACTAATCTCATTCTTCAAAAGCCAAAGAATAATGACCGTGTTTATGTCCTTTTGGGACAGACATCATCCCGGAATGTCTATTACATAGGATATTTTTACTCTCCTATGGGTATGTTAAGTTTCCAAGGATCTTTTTTGATAGCATTGGCTTTATTTTGATGGAATTAATAGTGATGATATTATTCCTATTCACATTCACTTGTTTCAAGAAAGGCAGGAAAGACATGAGTAAGAAGATAAAGAATGTTAAAATTCACTCTAACTGCTCCTCTGAAGTTTAAGTACAATTGTTTTCTAGGACTTTTATATTGATTTTTTGGTATCTTATGTAACTCAGGTTTCTCTAGCCTTCACCCACTTGTAAGTACAAACGGAGGCACATTGACTAGAATTACCCATCTCTAAGAGTATATTGCCCCATATCCTAAATTAACTCAGCCCTCTGCTAAATTCCTCAAGGATTTCTATGAACTTCCAACAGATTTTCACATGTGATCAAGAGCAAGTCTGCTCTTTCTGAGCATCCCACTACCATGTGACACTGCTACTCAGCCCTCTCTCACCAGGATTTCCAGTTCACAAGAGACAGGCCTGCTTTTAGTAATACTCAGACATCCAGCCTCGTGGAGACAGAGCTGGGAGACAAATCTGAGTAACAGACAGCATGATGTATCTGTCCCCCATAATTGCCCCTTTCCTTTATCACCACCTTGTAACTGATTAAAGCTCATTATGTCTGGATCCTTCTTCCCTAGGCCAAGGTAGGAATTTCCCAGCAAATGTGCTTTTGAAGAGGCTCTGCCTTATCAGTTTACAAGGTTTGCTCTACACCTGTATCCCAGTTTAAGCTCAACCTGGGCAAAACATAATTCAAACCTTGGACACAGCATCCTACCAATAACATATAAGGGAGTAGCTTTTATGTCCTTTCACTTTTTAAAGTTCCCTCTTTCTTCCTTGTTTTTTTCTTTCTCTGAGGATATTGGAATAGAAGCTGTTAGACAGACTTTCAAACGTCATTGTTTTTAAAATCTTCACCATTTGTATTTACTTGGATGCTTAGTTCTAGAGAAGCCCATAGCTAAGTAGCCAGCCAACTTAGGACCCACGCTAGTGAAGACAGTGTCACAGGCTACTTAGTATCACCCTGACCGAGGCTCCCTAGCCCTTGGAAGGCATTAAAAAGAACCCACTGGAAAAAAAAGTAGGAGGCAATTATTTGAATTTGGGTCTAACCAATAACCTGTACTTTCATATAAACCTAAAAGTTATCCTGTTGTAGATAAACCTTTAAAGAGGAAAAAATTAACTTCCCAAAGAAGATAAGAGGAACCCAAGAGTTCCAAAAGCACAGAGCAGGTCCTGAAACTCTAGAGAACAACTTACCAGATCGTGTAGGATTTTTTTTCCCACCCACAACTGGCTCTGGCCCTGCCTTCAAGTGAATTAATGAGCTCTAAGGAATATTATAAGGTAAAAGGAGCTTGTTGTTTGTGTTTGTTTTTCTTTTTTACTTTAAGCTGTTCTGGACTATAATTCCACTCCTCCTATAAGTCCACTCGTTCTATTTTTGTATTTTTGTATAAAAAAATCCTTACTTGATATACTATATATGCTGCCAGTACACCATTTAAAGCCTCTTATGTTGATATGCTAATATTTGTCTGTTGATTTTTGGTAGACATTTACTAATAATTAATATTGATATTACATATAACTCCAGAATGTACCTTGAAAACAGCATATAAAGAACAATAAAACGATAAGCAAGATATAGGCAATTCTGAGAATATGCAAATCTCTAGTATATATCCTTTTCTCAGATGGAAATATCTTCCATAAAACTGAGAACAATTTTTAACAACAATGCAAACCTAGACTTTCTCAGTCTTACAGTGCTGTGTGGAGAGGCCCAGAGTAAAGGGTTAGAATACAGAGATGGAATGTGGGTGGAAAGAATTTATAACTGTTCTAATGGAAATCTATGCTGGGAGTTTAGCAAAGGAAATAAGGTACATTTAATCTGCAGCCTGTTGATACTCTGTGAAGGTTGCCTCCCTCTTCATTCTTCTCGTTCCTACGCAGCCTTTTGCTAATGAAAGTAAATGTTATACAGAAGCCTGTCTGTGAAGCTCTCCAGGGCAAGAGGGTCATGGGAGAAACTACACCTTGTGTAAAGCATGGAGAGAAATAGCTCAAGAATGTCAGTAAGCCAGAACCCCTGCTCAGCTATGACAGATAAGAATAGGGAGTAAGAGCCCTATTCTTGTATTTTAAAACAGATTGGTGTCTGGTTTTTAAATTCTGTGATTCTACTTCTCAGCTCTTATCATCAACCATGATTAACATTAATGATAAATGTTAAAATTGAAGATAAAATTTAAGACTCTGTAACTTATTTGGATAAAATTGGGCTAAATTTTGCCTTTGTTTATGTATATTTTATTTAAAAAGAGAGTATAGTGAAGATTACCAGAAGGGTGCTTCAAATACTTGAGAGTTAATAACAGTATTCTAAAAGCATTCACTTACAGATATTTTGTGTATATTAAAATATATTCTGTAAGACAGTTTCTCACAGCACGTGGGACACAATACTCTTGCTGTTCCTGTAGTTTTTTTAAAAAAGACAAATTTTGAAACCCAGAGATGTTAAGAGAACTTGCCCAGCATTATACAAGTTAGTGGCAGAGGTGAAAATGGAAGCTAAGTCTTGAAATTAACAATCTATAATTTTTTTGCTATCATTATGAAGACAAGATAATAACTATAAATATGTCAGAAGAGAATCATCACTATGTGCTAGAATGGTCAGAGTTTTATAAAGGTGCAATGTTAGTTAAAACATGAAGGATGAATAGAATTTGTCTAGTTAGAAAAAGAGAGTCTGTTGATCAAGTAGGAAACATGGAATGAACAAAAAATAGAGGAATAGAAAATAAAGTAGAGAAGTAGAAATAAACAGCTACTCAGGTCAGGCCAGACTGATTACAACAGGAGGTTCAGGTAGAAGGGTTAGGGAGGTGAATTTGGTAGAAATTTTTTATTTTATTTATTTATTTGCCAGAGAGAGAGAGAGAGCACAAACAGGGGAGTGGCAGGCAGAGGGAGAAGCAGGCTCCCTGCTGATCAAGGAGCCAGATGTGGGACTCAATCCCAGGACCCTGGATGGTGACCTGAGCTGAAGGCAGATACTTCACCGACTAAGCCACCCAGGCATCCCAATTAGGTAGAAATTTAAGGTCAAATTTTGAAAGGCTTTGCAATCCAAGCAGAACTACCCAACTCACTTAAATTTTAAACTTTTAAAGATAAAATTGACATAATAACCATTATTTTAGAAAGATAATTTGAACAAGGTGTATCACGTGGGCTAAAGTTGGAAATGGCCTAGAAATAAGAATAATACAATTTGTTTATTAATTATTCAGTCAGGAAGTGTGTGTTGTGTACCTATGAGAATCAACTGAAGATCTTATTTAAAATGCTGGTTCTGATTTAGCAAATGTGGGGTGGGCCAAGATATTGCATTTCTAACAAACTCCTAAGGATACCAAGCAGCTGGTCCATGGATCAAAGGAAATAACAAGGATTTTGTCAATTTAATCATGCATCTACTATGGATTTTAAGAAAAGGCTATTGAAGATACAAAGCTGAAAATAGGTCTTGCTTTTGAAATTACATGTACTAGAAATGTACTAGAAACTATAGACTAGTAATAAGAATGTTTTGGGAAGTTCAAGTGCTTAAATGCACATTTAGAAGTAGAATTTTCTTAAAAAAAAAGATTAAATCAAAAGACATTATAAAGGCTATTACATGGAACAGAAGAGTGTCAATGTTGATTTCTCTTCATCTGGATTATAAAACCTCATCAAAATGATATGTGATTATAAACACAAATAAAATACTACAAAACCTAGCTATTAGGTCTCTCTACCACAATTTTACATCCCTGTCTAGCAATATACCATAACCTTTTAATCTTAGAACAAATAAAAGTTCACTGAAGAAAATTTAGAGAATACAGGTTCACCAAAGAAAAGCAAAGAAAGGAAATTAATACATAATCCCATTACCCAGTATTCTTCTTCTTCCATTCTTCAATTCTATGTGTGTACAGTTTATATGTGTATAACTTTAAGAAAGCAAATAAATCATAGTCTTATTTTAACTCTCTTTTCTACTCAGTGTATCTTAAACATCCATCTGTATTATCACATAATCCTCTGCAATATCATTTAAATGCCTATATGTCATTCTCAGTAAAAACTGTAATATTATTTATTTATACAATCCCTTGTTGTCAGACATAAGGTTGTTCCTAACCTTTCTCAATTTTAAGTAAATGATGAACACCTGTATAACTAAATCTTGGCATATACCCACAATTATTTGAGAGTGTCTTTAAATTTTTATTTTATCCATTTTATGACCATTTGTTGATTGACATATGCAAAGCTATGTTGATAGCAGAGGTAAAATGATAAATAAAACAGCTGCTGTCCTCAACTGCTGGTAGGCATGTAAAACGTGTTGTTGGCTGTTTCCTCAGCAATTAGAACAGTCAGCACATGGTAGCTAGTCAGCAAATGCCAGGAAGTAAGAGGAAAAGAAGAAACACTGAGTACGACCTGAATATGAAACTAGTCAAGTCTAGAGATTTCTAATTGACACAAATTGGTATGAACTTCCAGGGATAAACTCCTTCTAAGCTCCCTCCTATTTCTACCTATTTCTAGATGTCCTGGTATTCTTTTCCCCATGGCTGGTTAAATAACCTATTAGCCTCCTTTTGTCTTCCTAGGCAGCAAGAGCTGCTACTGTTTTCGTACTGTGCGGAAGAGTCTAAAACAAATAAAGACGTTTGGATAGGTAAATGAGTAGAG